CTAAACTTCCTGTTTATTCATGTTATTTTAAGTTTTCTTAATCCCTGTCTACACTACCATATTTTCATATCCACACCTCCTGTTTATTTTGTCATTTTATTATCTCTACATATTTAATCCCTGATTGCATAAACAATTATTCATCACACTAGTTTCTTATCCAAACATCCTGTATATTTTGTTATTTTTTACATTTCTAACCCCAATTGCACAATGTCAATTTTCTTAGTTTTAGTTTTACCCATCCCCCTGTTTATTATGGCATTCTAATTCCTAATTGTAATTTTTATTCAACCCCTAACCAGAAATTGTTCTGGAACTTTCCCATCCATTTGATATAAATACACGAATGTACAGCCTAGATGATGACTTCGTCGAAAAGAAAATTTTCTTCTTTTTTTTTTAATAATGACCATCCCATCGCCTTTCTTATCTAAACTTCCTGTTTATTCATGTTATTTTAAGTTTTCTTAATCCCTGTCTACACTACCATATTTTCATATCCACACCTCCTGTTTATTTTGTCATTTTATTATCTCTACATATTTAATCCCTGATTGCATAAACAATTATTCATCACACTAGTTTCTTATCCAAACATCCTGTATATTTTGTTATTTTTTACATTTCTAACCCCAATTGCACAATGTCAATTTTCTTAGTTTTAGTTTTACCCATCCCCCTGTTTATTATGGCATTCTAATTCCTAATTGTAATTTTTATTCAACCCCTAACCAGAAATTGTTCTGGAACTTTCCCATCCATTTGATATAAATACACGAATGTACAGCCTAGATGATGACTTCGTCGAAAAGAAAATTTTCTTCTTTTTTTTTTAATAATGACCATCCCATCGCCTTTCTTATCTAAACTTCCTGTTTATTCATGTTATTTTAAGTTTTCTTAATCCCTGTCTACACTACCATATTTTCATATCCACACCTCCTGTTTATTTTGTCATTTTATTATCTCTACATATTTAATCCCTGATTGCATAAACAATTATTCATCACACTAGTTTCTTATCCAAACATCCTGTATATTTTGTTATTTTTTACATTTCTAACCCCAATTGCACAATGTCAATTTTCTTAGTTTTAGTTTTACCCATCCCCCTGTTTATTATGGCATTCTAATTCCTAATTGTAATTTTTATTCAACCCCTAACCAGAAATTGTTCTGGAACTTTCCCATCCATTTGATATAAATACACGAATGTACAGCCTAGATGATGACTTCGTCGAAAAGAAAATTTTCTTCTTTTTTTTTTAATAATGACCATCCCATCGCCTTTCTTATCTAAACTTCCTGTTTATTCATGTTATTTTAAGTTCTCTTAATCCCTGTCTACACTACCATATTTTCATATCCACACCTCCTGTTTATTTTGTCATTTTATTATCTCTACATATTTAATCCCTGATTGCATAAACAATTATTCATCACACTAGTTTCTTATCCAAACATCCTGTATATTTTGTTATTTTTTACATTTCTAACCCCAATTGCACAATGTCAATTTTCTTAGTTTTAGTTTTACCCATCCCCCTGTTTATTATGGCATTCTAATTCCTAATTGTAATTTTTATTCAACCCCTAACCAGAAATTGTTCTGGAACTTTCCCATCCATTTGATATAAATACACGAATGTACAGCCTAGATGATGACTTCGTCGAAAAGAAAATTTTCTTCTTTTTTTTTTAATAATGACCATCCCATCGCCTTTCTTATCTAAACTTCCTGTTTATTCATGTTATTTTAAGTTTTCTTAATCCCTGTCTACACTACCATATTTTCATATCCACACCTCCTGTTTATTTTGTCATTTTATTATCTCTACATATTTAATCCCTGATTGCATAAACAATTATTCATCACACTAGTTTCTTATCCAAACATCCTGTATATTTTGTTATTTTTTACATTTCTAACCCCAATTGCACAATGTCAATTTTCTTAGTTTTAGTTTTACCCATCCCCCTGTTTATTATGGCATTCTAATTCCTAATTGTAATTTTTATTCAACCCCTAACCAGAAATTGTTCTGGAACTTTCCCATCCATTTGATATAAATACACGAATGTACAGCCTAGATGATGACTTCGTCGAAAAGAAAATTTTCTTCTTTTTTTTTTAATAATGACCATCCCATCGCCTTTCTTATCTAAACTTCCTGTTTATTCATGTTATTTTAAGTTTTCTTAATCCCTGTCTACACTACCATATTTTCATATCCACACCTCCTGTTTATTTTGTCATTTTATTATCTCTACATATTTAATCCCTGATTGCATAAACAATTATTCATCACACTAGTTTCTTATCCAAACATCCTGTATATTTTGTTATTTTTTACATTTCTAACCCCAATTGCACAATGTCAATTTTCTTAGTTTTAGTTTTACCCATCCCCCTGTTTATTATGGCATTCTAATTCCTAATTGTAATTTTTATTCAACCCCTAACCAGAAATTGTTCTGGAACTTTCCCATCCATTTGATATAAATACACGAATGTACAGCCTAGATGATGACTTCGTCGAAAAGAAAATTTTCTTCTTTTTTTTTTAATAATGACCATCCCATCGCCTTTCTTATCTAAACTTCCTGTTTATTCATGTTATTTTAAGTTTTCTTAATCCCTGTCTACACTACCATATTTTCATATCCACACCTCCTGTTTATTTTGTCATTTTATTATCTCTACATATTTAATCCCTGATTGCATAAACAATTATTCATCACACTAGTTTCTTATCCAAACATCCTGTATATTTTGTTATTTTTTACATTTCTAACCCCAATTGCACAATGTCAATTTTCTTAGTTTTAGTTTTACCCATCCCCCTGTTTATTATGGCATTCTAATTCCTAATTGTAATTTTTATTCAACCCCTAACCAGAAATTGTTCTGGAACTTTCCCATCCATTATGAGTGTATTCAATTTCAGGTCCATTAGATCCCCAATATTCTTTATTTAACCATCCTTTCGCCCTCTTTCCCCCCCCCCACACACACATTTTCCTGTCAACCCACAGAAAAATCTTGGAGGATCTGGACTTCGCCGATGATATATGTCTGATTTCCCACAAACTGGAAGATATGCAAGTGAAAAGCAGCAACAAGTTGGCAGAAGAAGCATCAAAGATAGGACTTCAGGTGAACAAAGAGAAAACAGAGGTAGGTGATGAAGATTCCTGGCCAAAATCAGCAACACCAACTACAACAGACAGCAATCAGCATAAACGAGAGAAATGTGAAAGAAGGAACCTCCTTTACCTACCCACTTACCTGGGAAGCATCGTTTCAACTACGGGAGGACAGAACTGATGAGGTTACCAAAGCGGGGATTGGGATGGCAAGGCAAACTTTTATCACTCTCAAGTCTGTGTGGAGGTCAACAGCACTCAGCACCCAGCATGAAAATGAAAATGAGATCCGGATTTTCAACTCCAATGTGAAGTCAGTCAGTCCTGCTATACGGATCAGAGACTTGGCCAGCGCGTCATGAAGGGCACTTCGAACAAACTACAGACCTTCATCAACAGCTGTCTTCACTCAGTACCACTCAAGATCAGATCGTCAGCTGGAAAAGATCAGCGACAGGGAGGGATCTCTGGCAATGAGCGAACCAACACTGATTGTGCAACAAATAAGCAGGAAGAAATGGAGATGGATTGGATTGTGGCCATACTCTGAGAAAACAAACCATCAAGTGAGTGACATCACTAGACAAGCCCTCACTCGATTGGAACCCGACGACAAAGTTCTATAGTGAGAATTCAGTTCAATAAAGGTGCACGTCAGTTTTAATACAACTTTTATTCTTGTTAAAATGTCAAATGAATTACACCACTACCGTATGAGTATTAGTAATCAGAAACTGAATCATATGTTAGGGTTACTGATAATTCTGATCGATGCCTCAATAAATACATTAAAGAGAAATCGATTTTTAACAACAGAGGACAAGGGTCATGCAACAGATCGTTTATCTTAAGGAAATCAACACACATATCGATTTTCATGTACATTATTATTATTGATTATTGTTAGCAGACAAACACAGTCTTCTGATTGGTTGTTTATCTTTGTGGCTGTTTCTTCAAGGTCAGATCGTCTATCTACCTGCGAATCGTATCCGCCTACGCAAACAAAGTGTTCTGTGATTAGTTGTTGGTTGAGTCAGTCAGTCTTTGTTCTTATTTTTCTCATGACCAATATTGTGGACTGTAAACATTGACTTGAATTACTGTCTATCGAATTTTGCTAGCAGACAGCTCTCATCACAGATTAATAATCAACGACGCGTCAAAAAATATAGTTCAATCACAATGACAGTCGAAAGATTAGTGAGACATACTACATTTTTGTTCAGATTTTGGTAGACACCACCAGCACATGTGGAAAAATTCCCTGTGACGTCATCTACCAGACCAACCTTACTAAAGATAGTTTATCTTTTTTATGACTGAACATTCCCACCGGGGAATATAGGGCTCCAAGCTGAAGCGTTGAAGTTTCGATAGCAGTGGTGTTTATTTTTACGGGGTGGATGGGGGTTGCTAACCAGTCTCATGCCCACCCTCCCGTCTTTTTGCCGATTTTACTACTAGCTTACCGAGGCAAAGGAGCGCGTGTCGGCGGGGGCCACTCCGGTTGCACTCACCTAATTAAGACAGTGGATTCTATAAAACCAATAAAAGCACTGAGAATGATGAAGATGGGCTTGAAATTAATTGATTAATATATATTATATTACACATCATTAATTTACAAAAAAAAAAGAAAAATTAGTGATTTTTAGGTTGCCCCTCTACGTCACACTAACTGACATGTACAGAAAGAAATAAGCAAGAGTAAAGGCAGTACAAAAAGAAGGCGTTTTTACAGTAAGTATATCTAGTTATAATGAATAAACACTGGTGCATAGAGTACGAGTAACACAGCTATTAAAACATTTACAAAACAACCTGCAAAACAATAATCACATATATGTCTATGGGATAATATTGTAGACGAAACTGCTATAATTAGTATTGGCATACAGAAAAGTGAACATTACAACAAGCGGTACAACCAGATTATCAATCTGTTCCGTGTACGCTTCAACGACAACTCCAGACAACAGTGGAAGCAACCCTGAAGTCCACGGCCAAGAATAATAATAGGAAAGACCAGTCCAGGCAATAATCTAAAGACATGGAAAAAAAACATTAGTGCTATATTATTATTATTATTATTATTATGAATATCACAATCACCACTGAGAGAGTTTATGCATAGTCAGAGTTAAGGGGTCAACATATATACATATATATATATATATATATATATATATATTGAATATTCCCATAATTTATTCAGAACAAAATATTTAGAGCGAATAATTGTTTTCAATAAATTCTTCTTCAGGCTCTACAATTATAAATCCATTAATTAATTTAAGCATACAATAGCCAGCCAGTCAGTAAGGCAAATTAGAATTATATCAGAAGTGTATTGTGGAACAAGTGTTAGATGGGATGGAACAATAGTCAGATAGTTTTTTCTTTTAATATGCATGGTCAATGAGAACATGGGACAAAATCAGATGAAGTAATTTAATTTAATGATATATATATATATATATATATATATATATATATATATAGTCAACAGAAAAATACAGGTTTCGAGAGTGTGTGTAATTAGGGTGTGTGAGAGACAATATGAAAATAAACCAACGAATGGGGCGGACTAGACATAAGTTCAGGGTTGAAACTGACAATAAGAATGACTAAAATAATAACGATGATATGGTGTAAAATTACAAGCACTATTGATGATGAATATAATGAAGTGGAATGAACAGGGTTTTGTAAATACGATAGCAAGTTAGAAAAGCACTGCTTAAACCTAAGGTAATAAAATCATAAGAAAGGTCATGAAATCATAAAAGTCAAAAATGAACGTTTGTCAATGAAACAGAGGAATAGAAGGAGAAAAGAAAAGAAAATTGTGAAAGGAATTTATAGTGTTAATGGAGGATTTGTTGGCTTTATTGTAGGCCAAGGTAAACATACTTCTTCTGTATGCAAAGAGATGGTCTTCTGGTATTACTGATAGAAGACATAGTCGAGTTCCTCTAGATGAATTACTAGGAACGCCGTAAATAACTGAGAACGCCAGGTCAAGTTTTATCTGGTGTCCAGTATCTACCAAGTGGGCTGAGACTGCACTATTTACACATTTGGTTATTCCTTTACTCAAGAAACAGAATTAGTTGAAAACAATTGTTCGCTCTAAATATTTTGTTCTGAATATATATATATATATATATATATATATATATATATATATTCATAGAATATTCTGGATTGGTAGTGAATAACAATATTAGTGTGTGCTTTTTAAATAGTAATATCGATTTGTACAGTAAGATCACAATGGAATCACCACAGTTCATTAAAGATGCTTAAATTATGGTAATAGTAATAATAAAGATATAGTAGCAAATAGAATATCAACTAAAATTAGGAAAATTCCACAAATATTCAGGATCATCGAAACCTTGATGGCCAAGCGTGTAAGGATAATGTCTGAACCAACCAACTTCTTTTGGATGCATAAAATTAGGCTTGCTGATATGGATCGCAACACGGCCAGCCAACCTCAGCAATATTTAATTGTCGAACTGTTAAGGCGAAATTGATATTTGTTTGTTGGTGTATGCGGTAAATGACCCTGAAAGCCACCGCCTTGTTAACATCAATCAGTCTTGTGTTGTGTATCCACAAGATGATGAGTGAGATGGAATAGCAGCGCTGAGAATAGATTTTGTTTGTCCTTTACTTAACCAACCAACCACTGTTCAGGGTTGGTGATGTTCGAGAATTCGACGAGAAACACGCCTAATTGTGTACGGCCTATGCAAGTAACTGGCTCACTCCACAGGAGAGCAGTCAAATTGGTAGATACACACACACACACATGGAAGAGGCGAAATTAGGCAGTTCGTCTTTTACTCTCGAACGAACGCAAGAGAGTTGTGAGTGGTTTTGAAGACACAACGTAATTCGTCAGCAGCACGGAATGCTCTTCGTTTTACCGCCTCATTTCTAAGGCACAGCTGTGTTAGTATCTCACTGATGTTGTCCCCAAGCAACTGACTGCATTTGTAAGAATAAGGCCTTCCTTTGCCTCGGAACTGTTGGTGTACCTTGGGCTGCTTTGATTTTAGATTCATATATATTCTTATCAATAAACTTTCCTGGATAACCCTTTTCACTCAGCAACCAACCGTTTAATATTATTAACATGGGGAAACAATTAGGGTTTATTGAATATGGGAAATCACAAAGAGTGAATGCATCTATTCCATTGAGAACGATTTTTTAAGCCATACCACCACTGTCCTCAACCAATGGGGTTCTTAGAATCCCAAGAACGTTAACCAGGAAGCCTAAACCTCCGCCAGTAAACATTTCACACTAACTAACCAAAGATTTCACTGACTGACTCCACCACCTGTAGCTGTTTACCAACGTCGTCAACCGCGCTGTGTCAGCTGACATTGTTCGTTGAGGAGGAAGGCGATGGATGGGCTAGGCAAGCATGCATAACACATGTCCTAGGCATCTTCAATCAATTGGCTTCCACCCCCCCCCCCCCTGTCATCTCAATGTTTCTGATCCCATTATACCAACTGACACGAGAGATAGAGAACGCAAATACACCTATGCATGACCAAAGACAGCTAGCCTCCTTTTCACATATTCCACTTTCAAGGACCATGTCTCACAGCAGGTCATAAAAAGGAGAGGATGAAGTGAACTGATCAATAACTGGATATCACAAATGTCGTAAGTCGGCAAATGCCACACACGAGTCTTTTTTTATCCGCGTTTAGATTTCGTCAGTTCATTGAGGCTGATATAATATAATAGTAATAAAAATAGCTTTATTGCAAACAGTATTTGTGGTACAGGTATGGAATTTTCAGCATGCATTACAATATTGCATCTAATTACCTAATAAATTTTTATAAGATTTTTAAAAATAAAAAGCAACAACAAGAAAAAAATAGATAAATGAAAAGAAACAATGCACCACAGGATATGAAATATAAAATTAGTGTGTAATAGAATATGTGAGCAACAATACAGTAGTAACAAAGAAAAGAGAACAAAAGCTAATGGGAACTATTTGTTAGAGTGCCGCAGTAACTTGACCGTGTCATACCTGACGGATTTCTCATCACATAACAGCTCTGCCAGATAAGGTACTGTGGAGTTTTGTACTTGGTAGTCCTAGCATATAGCCTCCTATAGCTGCTTTTAGTTCTACCAGATGAAATGCAAGGAGAGAGCTGTATATAAAGAGGATGCTCGGCGTCTGACAATATAGAATTCGCTAGTTTCTTACATGACATTATATGTCTGTCCACAATGGTGTTAACCAGTTGGTTTAACGAAATCCCACTTCCCCTACTAACAGGCTTCAGTGCCCTTTTCAGCAAAGCAAAATTTTTCTTAAGTAGTCCAGGAAAGATTAATGGGGAGCAGTAAAGAGGGATGGTTAGGATACAAGAGTTGACAAACTGAGAAAGCAAAGACTGCTTTATACCAGACTGCCTTAACTTCCTAACGTAGAACGTTAAGCGAAGCATCTTTCTAGTAACTAGCAAGATGTGAGAGGACCAGGAAAGATCGGAGGAAATACTCAGTCCAAGGTACTTGACATTAGATGTAGTTTCAACATCTATGCCGTCAATGATAGTGGGGCCATGTGAGCTAACTAGTTGTTGTAGGTCACGTTCTCGTCTGAAAGTGAAATTTACTACCTGACATTTAGACGGATTCAGCTTAAGCCCGTTTGAAGAGGACCACTGACTAATTTCCGACAGAAAGTTATTTATTTTGGAACAATCTGACTGAGAGTTGACAGGCATGGAGACAGAGAGGTCATCAGCATACTTGACAAAAGTGGCTACATGAGAATAGGGCAAGTCATGTAAGAAAAAAGAAAACAGAAAAGGAGAAAGAACAGCACCTTGAGGAACACCAGCTTAAGTAAGTGAGGTAGTGGAGGACTTTCCATTGTAGACGGTGTACTGCTTCCTATCAGAAAAATAGGAATGCAACCACTTATTTGTCCAGTTCTCACTCTGTGTTGCAGCAAGCTTACTTAGCAAGAGAGACCTAGATACAGAGTCAAATGCAGATGTGTAATCAAGGAAGGCACACCGAACATATTTGGCTCCTCAATCGCAAATAAGTGAAGTCGTCAATGTGCTCTATCACATCATTCCCTCCTTCGCTATCTCTGCATAAGCTTATTTATCTGGTTGCGTCACTTCGAGTAGAGTGCCATGATCAGTGCGAATTACTTTGTCATCAAAACCCTTTATCGCTCTCATCGGTCGATGGAGTCGAATTCCACATTTAGGCCAAGTAATCTGGCAAATGTTGGACGCTGGTAGCTATGCGCCTATTTGTGTTTGAGAATCTGTCGAAGATTACAGATATGATCAATACACCCTGTTCCTGGTCTAAAATAAGTATGGTCTTCTCGCCTCTGTTTCCATCCGAACACCACTTAATCTACACGCATGACTAATGAGTCTAGAATTTTACATACCATATTAAGTAAGTAAAGCTAATTCCCAGGAAGGCTTTTCTCCCATCTTGGATGCTGGTAAAATCAATGACCTACACACTAATCCAATGGGACTTATCAGTGATTCCCAAGCATTCCATATTAGTTTGTTTATTAGATGAATCACCACTCAGTGAGTGAGTGAAACAGTATTAGTATTTACTGGATGACAAAGTTGTTTCGAACACAATTCATCATTATTGCTGTTCATAATCATACACATCACCAATTATAATCACACGACTTCGAAACTTGAGTTTTATAGTCTTCTATGTTCCCTCCTATTTGTCGTCGTCATTGGGGTAGTAGAATTTTCCAGATATCCAGCTGGAGAGGTGTTGAATCATTCCTATTGTAGGCACGCATTTGCAGTTGATTCGATAAACAAAGCTTCCGTTGTTATCAATCTTCCCCAGTCGCCACCCTGTTAGTTGTATTCGATTTTCAAACTGTCATCTTATCTCATCCAGTCTATTTTTTTTTTTTTTTTGATTTACAGCTTGATTTCCACACCGTATTTTCAGTACAAGTGTGGAACTTTCAGCATGGATATCGGTTGCCCAAATTCAGGCATACCATAGATATCGGGTGTGCGCCGGCAGGGGTTCGAACCCCGGACCATGTGCATGGTCGGCGAGAGTCCTAACCACTGTGCCACCGACGTATGGTTGTGTGTAACTGCATGTAGTGCTTGCGATAACTGCTCAACTATTCTCTAGATTTCTTATCTTATTCAGGTCAACTAATCTGGGTTTTGCTGCTAGGTGCTTATGCTCGGGTAGTCTACGATCTCTTTCTCACGTTAGGTGGTATAATAAGGTAAGTAATGTCAACGTTAGGTAAGGCGTAGAGTGTTGGGCAAAGAGGGAAAATCAATCAAAAAGAATATAAAGTTACATAGATTGAGATGGCTAGGTCACGTGCAGCGCATGCCTAACCATCGCCTCCCCTTCCCGACGGGCATTACTAGCTGATATATAGGTGCAGGTTGGAAAAGAGTAAGTGGTGCCATGCCAAACAAAAGCATGGCATCAATCCATGAAATGCTTGACAGTTAAACTGAGCCAGATAGGGGGATGCAGGCTTCCGGGTTGGGGCCCTCGGGACGATAGGTGACATGGCTCAAAATCGTTGTCAATGGCTTACGCAGATGTGTTCAGTCTCTTATGTAATCTTTCATATTCCTTTCTACCATTACTCATTCTGTTTCACTCTTATACTTGTCAAAACTCTATTGATTCTCTTCACTCATCCACCTACTTGTCTACCTTTGTGTGCTATTTGGAACGTGGCAACTCGAACTTTTGCACTTCGGTGCCAAGTTCTATGTTGAATCCAGACAGACAGACAGAGACAGGCTCGGCTAGTCTGACTCACTGACCCTGTTCTGCTATTTTGACCTATGTATTTGACCTGACAATCATCACAGGCAGGGTATTAGATAAACTAAATTGTTTTGTTTTCGAGGTTCCATAAGAATGATCCTTTAACCGACAGAACTTGTTTCCAATTTAGTTTGTGGTTGGTTTGAATGCCAGTCACTTTTATTCCTGTCTGCCTTGTTAAGAATTCTGCGTAAGGTTGTTTCCGAGGTTCCTTCCTTGTATGGAATTACTACTGTTGATTTACATTCCTTATTGTTGGTGTTGTCTTGCGCATATTTGACATGCACGTCTTCATTATTATCATTATTATTATTATTATTATTATCACTATCACTACTATCATTATTTATTTTATTTTCACATTTCCCTACATATTTTCTGACTAATTTATCAGGGTAATTATTAAGTTTCAAGGCTTCTCTTATATGTCTCACTTCCTGTCTTAGATTTTCCTTGGTACTACTTAGTTTTTGTGCTCTGTTGTCACTTAAACATTTCACCAATCCTATTTTCACTGACATAGATTGGGTGTTATGATCGGAAGTCCAAATATCTGTTTGAATGTGTGGGTTTCCTGTAAACACATACACACACTAGCGTGTTTAACTTCCCATCTTCTTTCCTTTTTACGTTGCAGTCTAACATCGGAAGCTCCCCTTCCTGACTTTCCAATTCATCATAAGTGAATTGAATCGCCTCCACCTCTGGAGTTAATGTGTCCCAGATATCTGGAAAGTTCTACTATCCCAAAGACGACGACAAATAGGGGAGAGGACAAAGAAAACAATAAAACTTAAGTTTCAAAGTTGTATGATTATAATTAGTGATAGGGTTATGAACAATAAATTTTGCTGGAAACGTCATCCAGTAAATACTAATACTGTTTCACTGACTGTGTGATACATCTAATAAACAAACTAATAAGGAATTACTTACTACCACCACCACAGTGCCCGAGTTTTACACGTATTCCCAAACATTGCATGACGTGTTAGTTAACCCACACACACAACAGTGTATATAAATAGTGAAATTTAACAAAGAGAACTTTGCGACGATCAACCCTTTAGCCAACTGCAACACCTACATTACGATTATTGTGATTAATTATTATTATTATTGTTCCCTTGGGTTCCTAGTGGAACATAGGGCTTCAACTGCACGTCTCCACTTGCTTCTGTCTTCTGCTGTACTTTTCACTTGCATCCATGTTAGTCCATACTGTTTCAGCTCCTCTTCACACGATCTCCTCCATGTCACCCTTGCACGTCCCACTCGAGCGATGGCCTGACGCGCGATGTCACCCAACGGCCTCCTCAGCGAGTGTCCAATCCATCTCCATTTTCTCCTGCATATTTATTGGGCGATTGGTTCCTGATTTGTTTGTTCCCATTGTGATTAATAGAAAATAATAATGTTCTAATGGGACAAGTACAAAAAAACCTTTGGATCGCGTTGTATGTCAGTGATCGATAGTATTAAACGTGAAATCTACGACTTACTATGTTATTATTAGCTAAACACTTAGCTCTTTTATTCTCTCTCTCTCTCATCCGTAATCTATGATAACACGCTATTTCAATTAAACTTATAATTTTAGCTATCGACAAAAATTAGTATCATTAACTTATACTTTGTTGCTTTTTTGTTCACATCTTTGACTTTATTATCACTGCAAACACCAAAAAGCTGCTATCATCGATCATGGTTAGGTACACCCTGTAATATTAATTTCGTAATAGTGTTTGCTGTTGTCGAGTAAGTTAGATGATATATATATATATATATATATATAAATGCTGACAACTCCACATCGTGTCACAAGTACTGTTTTGCAATCAAGCTATTATTATTATTATTTGTTATTATTTCCTTTAATTCCTAGAGGAACATAGGGCTTCTTCAGCCGTGCGTCTCCATTGCGTTCGGTTCTCCGCTAAAGTTTTCACCTGACTCTAAATCTGCCCACATGCTTTCATCATCTCCTCTTCACATGACCTCCTCCACTCCAAGTCACCCTCACGCTTGCACTGATGACCAACTCGTCGCTTCCCGTTCGAGGTCAACTCGAGTAATGGTTTATCTAGTGATATCACTCACTTGATGGTTTGTTTTCTCAGAGTATGGCCACAATCCAATCCATCTCCATTTCTTCCTGCTTATTTGTTGCACAATCAGTGTTGGTTCGCTCATTGCCAGAGATCCCTCCCTGTCGCTGATCTTTTCCAGCTGACGATCTGATCTTGAGTGGTACTGAGTGAAGACAGCTGTTGATGAAGGTCTGTAGTTTGTTCGAAGTGCCCTTCATGACGCGCTGGCCAAGTCTCTGATCCGTATAGCAGGACTGACTGACTTCACATTGGAGTTGAAAATCCGGATCTCATTTTCATTTTCATGCTGGGTGCTGAGTGCTGTTGACCTCCACACAGACTTGAGAGTGATAAAAGTTTGCCTTGCCATCCCAATCCCCGCTTTGGTAACCTCATCAGTTCTGTCCTCCCGTAGTTGAAACGATGCTTCCCAGGTAAGTGGGTAGGTAAAGGAGGTTCCTTCTTTCACATTTCTCTCGTTTATGCTGATTGCTGTCTGTTGTAGTTGGTGTTGCTGATTTTGGCCAGGAATCTTCATCACCTACCTCTGTTTTCTCTTTGTTCACCTGAAGTCCTATCTTTGATGCTTCTTCTGCCAACTTGTTGCTGCTTTTCACTTGCATATCTTCCAGTTTGTGGGAAATCAGACATATATCATCGGCGAAGTCCAGATCCTCCAAGTTCTTTCTTCGTGTGGGACCATTTTATGCCTGTTTCCTTATTGTCCGCTGTTTGTCGCATTATCCAATCTACTGCAATCAGGAAAATCATTGGCGATAGTAGGCAGCCTTGTTTTACGTTATTCTTATAATAATCATCGTTAAAATTATCATTATTATTACTATTACCAATATTATTATTATTATCAATATCATTATTATTGCTACCATTATTATTATTACTATGATTATCATTATTATTACTATTATTATTGCAATTATTATTTTTACGAGTTGATCACGGATTGATATCAGTTAGAAAACCATTGAAAACCAGCCACAGGGAGTACTGGACAGCCAGCTGTTTCATCAGCCTAGTTTGGGAATCATCGGCAGTACGCACCCACTACAGAGGGTTCGAACCCAGCAGGTTCCGGTTACAAGGTTACTCCCTGGTTTCCAATGGTTCTCTAACTGATATCAATCCGTGATCAACTCGTAAGAACAAAACTAACCCCTGACAAACCAAACTATAGAAAATTATTGTTATTACTATTATTATTATTACTGTTATTATCATTTTTATTAATATTATTATTATTACTACTATTATTATTACTGTTATAATTATTACTATTATTATTAGGGTTATTTTAGTGCTAACAAGAATGTGTGAAACACTCACCTGCGTTAGAAAGGAAGCTGAAGATCCTAACAAGGTTCGATGTGATCCAGGCCAGCGACGTTTACCATAAGCCTTTCCAACTAATGCAGCAAAACTATCACCTATAGCTATGGACAATATACCTGTCCATGACGTCGGTTTTACACGCATTTCATAGCATAGATGACCTGGAGAAGAAATGTGAAAAAAAGAAAAGAAAATTAGGCGTACAATCATAATGCAAACTGTGAATTTGATAAGCTGAGTTGTGTAGAGGAATTAAAAAAAAGAATGGTCAAGCTGAGTGTTGAATGAGGAGCGTTAAAATTCAAAGAGTAAAAAGTAAATATTCTACACAAAGTTTAAAAATGATATTGTGGTGAGAGCTGTCTGTTAGCAAAAATCGATAGACAGTAATTTACGTCAATGTTTATGTCCCAAATATTGGTCATCAGAAATCAACAAGAACAAAGACTGACTGACTCAACCAACAACCAATCACAGCACACTTTGTTTGCGTAGGTGGATACAATTCGCAGATAGCAGATAGATGATCTGACCTTCAATAAACAGCCACAAAAAGAGAAACAACCAATCAGAAGACTGTGTTTGTCTGCTAACAATAATCTATAATAATTCCATGAAAATCCTTAAATATGTGTTGATTTCCTTAATAAACGATCTGTTTGCCTGACTGGCCTTGTCTTCTGTTGTTACATATCCTCCTGAATGAATGACTGGTTTCCACGTAGAACTTTGCACTGCACATCAGTGCAGCAGTTCCAGTTGCACACAAAGGCAGATATAAAAGTAGAGAAAGATTCAAAAGAGAGATAATACACAGAAATATTAGGCAAAAAGAATAGTAATATGGAAGAACAATAAAATAGTCTTATTGGATCGGACAAAATCACAAAAAATAACAGTGGATGCATCTGCGCCGGCCACTGAGAACGATTTTGAGCTGGCCATATTACCAATTGCTTCCAGCCTTCATTGGTTTTTACCGTCCTCCCGAGGGACCTGACCAGGAATTCCACACTCCCTTCAGGGCTGGCTAGCTGGCTTAGACTAACTGTTTTGAATTTCAATGACTGATAAAGCCATGTTTCAGTCTGACCACCACTGGCTCTTTTCCAAACTGATCCATCCTATGTCATCCAATATATTGTTGGTAGAGGAGGGTGATGACTAAGAATGCATGCGTAACACATGTCTTAAATGTCTCCAATCAGTATAACTTCATAGCCTCATCAATTGATTTCCCCCCCCCCCCCCCGCTACCTTACCTAGCAGCAATCAATGCTTAAGCGCAATAGTGCCCACCTTATATTACCATTTCACACGAGAGATGGAACGCAGGCAGGCACCTATGATCAAGGAAACAGCTAACCAACTTTTTCATCACCTCCACTTTCGATGGCCATGTCTCACAGCAAGCCATAAACGAGGACATAGCGAACTGCTGAGCAGTACACACGCAATATGGTCGATAGCCGGATATTACGTCTACGCTAGTGATGGCATACATATATATTGGATGGAATGTGGTATTAATAAGGCTTTTACTTTTTTTTAAATGAATAAACAATGCAATCCAGTGATCCAATACACGTTCATGGAAGGCAGCCTTCGCGCTGTGGAAGATCCTACACTCCGGAGACAGCATACTGGTGTGATGTAGTATGCTTGTTGTGTGTTGGGCATTTTTGTTTCTTTTTATTCCATTGTAGCCTAGTTCCCGTTGGCCCAGGTTAGTTCAAGGTTATCGGCATGATGGAAAAAAAGGGATGGACCCTATTTTGCCGGGGAGTGTCGTTGATTGTGAACATTGAACGTCTGTATAAATTGGCCTTGGTAGCCACTGGCGGGCAACTCGAAGGTGCGAGTGATTCGATCGTGTACAGGTTGGAAGAAGACAAAGGAATACGAATAAAAGTACAATACATTCCCCGATAAAACATTTGTTTATAGACTTTGTACAGAATATTGACTTTAACTGCCGAACAATACAAATTCTTCTTGTTCCTTGTCTTTTGGAATTAAGGTCAATATCGTTCATCGTAATTGTCAATTCGAGGATCTTCAGAGATAATGGGAACTTAGGGTTAACGTTTCTTGGCAGGCACCCTTAACGTGTGCATGCTTTAAAGCTAACGGATCGATATCCGACTATCGACCAAAGGGCGTGTGTACTGCTCAACAGTCCGCTCCGTCCTCCTTTATGACTAGCTGTGAGACCTGGCCATTGAGAGCGGAAGACATGAAAAGGCTGATTAGCTGTCTTCGATCATATGTGCCTGCTTGCGTTCTATCTCCCGTGTGAAGTGGTATGATAAGGTGAGCAATATTGAGGTTAGATGTCGGTCGAGTGCTAGGTAAGGAGGGAAATCAATAGACGAGACTGTGAAATGACATCGACTGAGATGGTTAGGAAATGCTCTAGGTATGCCTAGTCATCGCTTTCCTCGACAACGGCCAATGTTAGCTGATATAGGGCCAGGCTGGAAAAGAGCTGGAGGCGGTCAAACCAAAACATGGCACCAGTCAATGAAATCTACAACAGTTAGTCTAAGCCACGTAGGAAGGTGTAAACATCCTGGTTGGGGTCCTCGGGACGGTAAAAACTAATGAAGGCTGGAAACAATTGGTGACATGGCTCAAAATCGTTCTCAGTGGCGCAGATGCATCCACTCCTTGTGGCTTATGATTTCCAATTAAACTGTTTCGTTCTCCGTTATTACTATTCCTTTTTCTCTCCACACCTCTGTTTACTGTCTCTCTCTATTATGCATTTCATTGTTACTTTCTTCTCTTGCTTTGTGTGCTACATGGAGTGTGGCGACTTGAACTGCCGCACATACGTGCAAAGTTCTATGTCGAAAACCGACCGACCGACCGAAAGCTAACGGATCACGCTATCTATGAAGACAGGTAAAAGCAGCATTTAAATATGATAGAGAAGATTTGTAGGTCAGGTGGATGATTTTGATGTGGTTGTGGTCTCTCAGCCAGCTGGATAGTTAATTTGCGAATCTTACAAGAGAGCCAGCCATGACTCATTGCAGCACTACCACCTTAAGGAAAACTGAAGAAAGATATCTCATGGACGTCTTCCAAAAAATGGATGGATATCCACGGAACTTTATCAAAGATATATACCCCTAAGCCAACCTATCAAACCAAAAGCCCTCAAGGAAAGCACAAAGAAAATTGCCATACTGTATATAAAGGATATCTCAGAAATCACTGCAAGACTTTTCAAACCTTGATAAGGAATTAATGTCGCACACAAACCAACAAAATCACTTCACTCTGCAGGTTCTATGTCAACCAAAAGACAGACTGAACAACGAAAGAAGATAAAAGCAACATCATCTACCAAATAAACTGTAACAACTGCGAAAAACACTGCATTGGCCAAAGTGGACGTCCCTGCTCTTCGTCTTCGTATTCACGAACATAAGCTAGCCATCAAAAGACATGACATCCACTCCGTTGCTCATATCGCCTCACTGCATACAGACAACACGGACTGGGACAACCAACGTTCAAATGTTAGACATAGGAAACAATACCAAGAATGCTAGAGAATTTTTAGAAGCCTAACTGGTATTCCAGTGAATTATCAATCAATAAATAGACACATCGAGATAGACAAAATTTATCAACCGATAAGAGAGAAACCTCACACACACACAAAGGGTCAAGGTTCAAGTCAAAGAAACAATACCAGTTCCAATACAAGTAGTCGCCTAGAAGGTGTGAAAACACACAAAAACAATCAATCACGTCCAAGGTGGTCACCGACCAGGAGAGAGATGATTAATGGTGAACTCGTGGAGGAGAAATCTAAAAGCTCACTTCAACAATTCAAATTGAAGTGTATGCGCTGAAGGAAGATGTCGCCTGCCTAGTAGGGCGATGAAAGCTTCGCAAATTAACTATCCAGTTAGCTCAGAGAGAGAACACAACCACATCAAAAGTAGAATTTAAAATTGTTAAAGACAACGACTTCGCTACTACCGGGTGCCACCGACAATTATACATCTCATCCAACAGCTGTACGACAATGCTGCATGCCAAGTAGTCCACACCGGGAAACTTACGGAATCCTTCGAAGTGAGGACAGGAGTAAAACAAATCTTGCTGGCTGCCTACTATCGCCAATGATTTTCCTGATTGCAGTAGATTGGATAATGCAACAGACAGCGTGACGGTCATCGAGGAGTCAGGCATAAAATGGACCCACACAAAGAAAGAACTTGGAGGATCTGGACTCCGCCGATGATATACGTCTGATTTCCCACAAACGGGAAGATATGCAAATGGAAAAAGCAACAATTTGGCAGAGAACGCATCAAAGATAGGACTCCAAGTAAACGTATAGAAAACAGAAGTGATGAAGATTCCCAGGTAACAACAACATCAGCAGCAACAACAACAACAGACAACAATCAGCCGGCATAAATGGGAGGAACCTGAAAGAAACAACCTCCTTCATCTACCTCTGGGAAGTATCGTTTCAACAACAGGCGGACGGAACTGACAAGGATATCAAAGTAGCGAGGATCGGGAAAGCAAGACAAGCTTTCACCACTCTTAAGTCTGTGTGGAGGTCAAAAGTACTCAAAATGAAAGTGAAAAATAAGATCCGGATTTTCAACTCCAATGTGAAGTCAGTCAGTGCTACTCACTATACGGATCAGAGACTTGGCCAGCGCGTCATAAAGAGCATCTCAAACAAACTACAGACCTTCATTAACAGTTGTCTTCCCTCAATACCACTCAAGATCAGATGGCCGGCCAGAAAAGATCAGCAACAGGGATCTCTGGGAGCGAACCGACCAGGATCCGATTATGCAACAAATAATCAGGAAGAAATGGAGATGGATTGGATTGTGGCCATACTCTGAGAAAACAAACCATCAAGTGAGTGTCATCACTAGACAAGCCATTGCTCGAGTGGAACCCGACTGAATGGGAAGCGGTGAGTTGGTCGTCAGTGCAAGGGTGAGGGTGACATGGAGTGGAGGAGGTCATGTGAAGAGGAGATGAGGAGAAGCATGTGGGCAGACTTGGGGCCAGGTGAAGACTTTAGCAGAGAACCGAACACAATGGAGACGCACGGCTGAAGCCCTATGTTTCTCTAGGAATTAAAGGAAATATTAATAATGATAAAGAACAATTAGAGGTCAATTACCTAAGCTAAAGACATACTCCACCATATAGTGGTGGTACGAGACCGGTTTTTTAAAACAAATACTTGCAAATAATACAAATTGAAATGTGTAAAAAAAATTTGCTCAACATTTTATCCCAGGTTAAGTGATCAAAATAGGTGGATTTTCTGATATTAGATGGTTAGAGGCAATCGGCCACACGAAGCCTTACACGGACCTAGGTTTCGTGCTACTTGGCACTCATCGGCAAGGTGTATCTGCAACCACATTGAAGGAACACCTCATGTTCCTTTTGAGATTCAAAAACCTCGTCACCCAGTGCCGCCTGCAGTCACAGACGTTAACACTGAGCTATTCGGGCTGGCTCGCGATTGACCTCCTGTAGGACTGTATTGGATAGTTTGATTGAACACTAGTCAGTAACTAGTGTGATGTGTCTAGTGCTTTCTTTGGAACAGACTGAATTCCATAGAATTCAGCAGCACTGGGTGACGCGGGTTCGAATCTCCCTCAGAAGGGACATGAGCTGTTCCTTCAATGTGGTTGCAGATACGCTTTGCTGACTGACCGGTGAGTGCCAACTAGCAGCACGAAACCTAGCTCAAGGAAGGCTTCCTCTGGCCCCGATTGCCTCCAACTATCTAATATCATCAAATCAATATGCACCATGATGGCGAGCTACCTAGTGGCATGGTGGCCACATTGCAAACCTGACTGACTGACTGATAGAATTCAGTCTGCACCAAAAACAAAGCACTAGACACGTAACACTAGTTACTGACTAGTGTCCAAACAAAGGTGGATTTTCTATTCACAATTACAGAATAAATAGTAGATTTTGATGCGTAAACACCAATGTAATTTCCATCCTGCTGCTGCTGCTGCTAGATTCAACATAGAACTTGGCACCGAAGTGCAACAGTTCGAATCGCTGATAGGATCCCACGCACTTTGTTATTGATCAATTATTTCAACGGCTGTTAATCTCGCATAAATGGTATATCATCATTTCCCACGCACTTTGTTATTGATTATTACGATCAATTATTTCAAATGCTGTTAGCTGTCTGTATTGTTGTAAAAATGTATAAATACCATGTGTTGTTTTCCTAAATAAGTTCTTTGTCGTAGTTGTTGTACTACAATATACAGTCACAGGCCAGCCTTTGTCTTTTGATATTTGCGTGGTTCACTGAATCGGAAGGTACCACAAGCAGATAGGCACATTAGACAGGCGCAGACAGAACAAGGCGACAAAGTCCTCATTTAATTCCCTACAGTTATAACAGTTGCCACGTTCCAAATAGCACACCAATGTAGACAAGAAAATGAGTGAAGAGAATCATTAGAGTTTTGACAAGTAAAGGAGTGACACAGAATGAGTAATGGTAGAAAGGAATATGAAAGATTACACAAGAGACTGAATACATCTGCGTAAGCCATTGACAACGATTTTGAGCCATGCCACCTATTGTCTGTCTCCAGCCATTGATTCTTAGAGTCCCGAGGGCGGGCCCCAACCCGGAAGTCTCCATCTCCCTCCCTACCTGACTCAGTTTAACTGTCATGGATTTCATGGATTGATTGATGCCATGTTTTTGTTTGGCATGGCACCACTTACTCTTTTCCAGCCTGCACCTATATCAGCTAGTAATGCCCGTCGGGAGGGGCAGGCGATGGTTAGGCATGCGCAGCACGTGACCTAGCCATGTCAATCTATGTAACTTTATAGCTTCGTCGATTGATTTTCCCTCTTTGCCCAACACTCTAAACCTAACGTAACGTCGACATTACTTACCTTATTATGCCACCTAACGTGAGAAAGATATCGTAAACATCTATGATCAAAAACAGTCAACCTTTTCATGTCTTCAACTTCCATAGAGGAATCTACCTTAATAGTGGACGAATTACTAATTTACTACTCTACCGAATTCACAGATGAAATGATCCAGTAATTCGTGCAATCCAGTGTTATTGATATAAGTATAAAACTTGGGCACTGTGTCATCAGTTAATATTACTGTGTAATCCTGTGTGATTTATCAAAATAAAATCTTATCCATAATGGAGCAATTCAGTGTTACATTTGAGCATTTTGAATCGTTTAACCTCCAGTTGAATTGGTTTTAAGCATTTATAAATTATTATTAATGCCTATGACGTCCTTAGATATTCTGAATCCGTTTATGAAAGAGCTGCTTCTCTTGAAATGCACAAAGCACAATATCCACTTTTTATTTAATAAGGAACTATATAGACAAATTGACGGTGTGGTAATTGGGTCACCACTGGGACCACCATTCTAGCCGACATTTTGCTTGTGAAACTAGGAAATAATGGGCCTTTGGAAGATGTTATTGATGAATTTGAATTCTATTATTGGCACATGGATGATACATTTTTGATTATGAAAAATGGGGAGGAGGAAGCAAAGTACATCCTGGATAAATTTAACGAGGTTCATCCTGCAATAAATTTTACCATTGAGAAAGAAAAAGACTCTAGTATTTCATTTTTAGACGTCCTTATGACCAGAAAAGAGGACGGCACAATAAGAAGAGGAAGTGTATATAGAAAACCTACATCAACTGACTGTCAGTATACTCATTTTCTCAGCTTCGTGCCCTTCTTGAAATACAAACGCAATCTGATAAAGTGCTTGGTCCACCACAGAGCAAGAGCAATCTGCTCGGATGAATGTCTTGATGAGGAACTATTAATAATATTAAACGGTTGCTGAGTGAAAATGGTTATACAAAAAGTTTATTGATAAGAAATATGAATCTAAAATCAAAGCAGCCCAAGGTACACCAACAGTTCCGAGGCAAAGGAAGGCCTTATTCTTACAAATGCAGTCAGTTCCTTGGGGACAACATCAGCGAGATACTAACACAGCTGTGCCTTAGAAATGAGGCGGTAAAGAAGAGCATTCCGTGCTGCTGACGAATTACGCTGTGTCTTCAAAACCACTCACAACTCTTTTGCGTTCGTTCGGGAGTAAAAGACAAACTGCCTAATTTCGCCTCTTCCATGTGTGTGTGTATCTACCAATTTGACTGCTCTCCTGTGGAGTGAGCCAGTTACTTGCATAGGCCGTACAATTAGGCGTGTTTCTCGTCGAATTTTCGAACATCACCCACCCTGAACAGTGGTTGGTTGGTTAAGTAAAGGACAAACAAAATCTATTCTCAGCGCTGCTATTCTATCTCACTCATCATCTTGTGGATACACAACACAAGACTGATTGATGTTAACAAGGCGGTGGCTTTCAGGGTCATTTACCGCATACACCAACTAACAAATCTCAATTTCGCCTTAACAGTTCGACTATTAAATATTGCTGAGGCTGGTTGGCCGTGTTGGGATCCATATTAACAAGCCTAATTTGTGCATCCAAAAGAAGTTGGTTGGTTCAGACATTATCCTTACCCGCTTGACCATCTAGGTTTGAATGATCGATACTGAATTTTTGTGGAATTTTCCTAATTTTAGTTGATATTCTATTTACTACTATATCTTTATTATTATTATTATGGTAATTTAAGCATCTTTAATGAACTGTGGTGATTCCATTGTGATCTTACTTTACAAATCGATATTATATTTAAAAAGCACACACTAATATTGTTATTGACTACTAAACTAGAATATTCTATGCATATAAACATGCATATGCATATAATCGTAGAGCGAGAAGAGGAGGAATTTATCGAAAAGGATATTCTTTGCTGGCTCAATTATATTTTGTGTTTTTATTGGCACTAATTTGCACACAGCCAGAAGAAAAAAAGAGGATTACACAGTTACGTCATTTCTATAAACGAGATAGCCAACTGATTCGCATGCATAGATTTATCAAACCTTATCAAAACGCCACACTTACCAATACTGACCGTCATATCCGTATTCTTCAAATTTTCCGGCCACCAAATAGGAATGCTTAGGCCGAGTAGAAGAGCAATAGGCGTGAAGAGAATTTCACCGGAATCTCGCTCATCCCGAAATGGATCAACTAAGGCACTGAGGTAAGATGAAAGGTTATAAGGCTAAAAAAGAAAGAAAGCGGAAGAAAGAAAAACAATTAAGAGTTGTGCCATTTGTCGTTAGATTGCCATTAGATATTGTGCTGAGAGCTGGCTGCTAGCCAAGGTTGGTAGACAGTAATTGACGTCAATGTTGTTGATGTCCCCAATATTGGTGGTGAGAAAATCAGAGAGAACAAAGGCTTTGTGTAGGCGGATACTGTTAGCATATGGATGATCTGACACAGCCAGCCACAAAGAGATGCAAGGTTAACTTTCTGTGAGAAACAACCACCAATCAAAAGACTGTATTTTCTACTAACAATAATCTACAATAATGTACATGAAAATCTATAAATATGTGTTGATTCTCCTTAATAAACGATCTGTTGCCTGGTCCTTATCTTCTGTTGTTACAATATGACTGAAAGAAGACGTGAACGAACAGTTGGTGAACGTGATGACTCTATTATATAACCATCATTAAAATATTCAGAAGTTGGCCTCTTATAGGGATTTGAATAACTCTAAAGCATATTTCATCGCGAACCAACGTCAGTTGAAAAAAACAACAACGACACAAAAACACACATTGATGAAAACCTCTGCGCATTACAGAGTTGTTATTGATATTAGTTCTTTAATTGATACCGGTTTCCAATATAGTGTACTTACAAATTACTACAGACAACAATCAGCCGGCATAAATAGGAGGAACCTGAAAGAAACAACCTACTGGGAAGCATCGTTTCAACTATAGGAGAACGGAACTGACAAGGATATCAAAGCAGCGAGGATCGAGAAAGCAAGACAAGCTTTCATTACTCTCAAGTCTGTGTGGAGGTCAAAAGCACTCAACATGAAAGTGAAAAATAAGATCCGGATTTTCAACTCCAATGTGAAGTCAGTCAGTGCTACTTGCTATACGGATCAGAGACTTGGCCAGCGCGTCATAAAGAGCATCTCAAACAAACTACAGACCTTCATTAACAGTTGTCTTCCCTCAATACCACTCAAGATCAGATGGCCGGCCAGAAAAGATCAGCAACAGGGATCTCTGGGAGCGAACCGACCAGGATCCGATTATGCAACAAATAAGCAGGAAGAAATGGAGATGGATTGGTGTGGCCATACTCTGAGAAAACAAACCATCAAGTGAGTGTCATCACTAGACAAGCCATTACTCGATTGGAACCCGACTGAATGGGAAGCGGCGAGTTGGTCGTCAGTGCAAGGGTGAGGGTGACTTGGAGTGGAGGAGGTCATGTGAAGAGGAGATGAGGAGAAGCATGTGGGCAGACTTGGGGCCAGGTGAAAACTTTAGCAGAGAACCGAACGCAATGGAGACGCACGGCTGAAGCCCTATGTTCCTCTAGGAATTAAAGGAAATAATAATAATCATAATAATAATACAAATTACTATTTGTAATACTAATATTGTGGTGAGAGCTGTCTGTTAGCCGAAAATTGGTAGACAGTGATTTACGTCAATGTTCTTCATGTCTCAAATATTGGTCATGACAAAACAAGAACAAAGACTGACTGACTCAACCAACAACCAATCACAGCACACTTTGTTTGCGTAGGCGGATACAATTCGCAGATAGTTAGATGATCTGACCCTGAAGAAACTGCCACAAAGAGAAACAACCACCAATCAGAAGACTGTGTTTGTTTGCTTACAATAATCAATAATAATAATGTGCATGAAAATCGATAAATATGTGTGTTGATTTCCTTAATATAAACGATCTGTTGCCTGACTGGCCTTGTTTTCTGTCGTCACACAGGTAAACTTTGTGTGCTGTATTATATCTTTACGACAATGAGGAATACACAGACATCATTCAGGAATGTTTTCCATAAATGTATCAGTTGAAATTAAGACACTTCAAAGGACACCACACAAAAAATGAAACTCAGAAAATATTTTAAAGAACACCTGATGACGTTTCGAGCACAATTTATTGCTCATAATCATATCAGGTTAATCACACGACTTCCCAAGGACCCTGTCAGTTGACCCAATTAGACAAAATAATATAATTTACAAAATACCCTGCAATGACTGTGAGGTCAACTACATAGGTCAAACTAGTAGGTCAGGGATAGTCAGATTATCAGAACATAAGAATTTAGCTGAGGTAAGAATGGTTGACCCCACCCGAGAAGATGAGTAATTTAGAAAAAAGCTCAGCAATTGCAATGCATGCATTAACACACAACCACACAATAGGGTGGGAGAGGGTTAAAATTCTAAAAAGTAATCTAGGTAGGTGGAGAGAGAGGTTGATTACTGAATCCTGCCTGGTTCATTGAGTCTACACCCAACACATGCAATAGGAATGATTCATCACTCATACCTGAAATATGGAAAATAATACTACCAATCAAATCAAGTGAAAAACAATGGAACTATATAAATGAATTTAGGAAGTCGTGTGATTACCTTGATATGATTATGAGCAATAAATTGTGCTCGAAACGTCATCAGTAAATATTACTGTATAACACTGTGAGACTCTATCAAAATAAAATTTACGCATAATGGAATTACACTCTACCACAGTGCACAAGTTTTATTCTTATATAATAAAGAATAATCCCGAGCATGAATAGAGAAAGTTGTTAGATTAAGGTGTTAATGGAAATACTCAAATCTTGTGAGAAAATGACTACGAGTATCCCCATTTGAAGCAACCCACAACGCACACCTCTCTACCTGAATTATATTAACGATCAAGGATCAAGATAAACGCACAATAAATCTAAACAACATTTTTTTTACACAAAACAAATATAAGCGCACACATTACCTTTCCTTGTATTTGATAATGTACTTTGTATCACATAGTGAGTTTAAAGGAGAAAAACTTAACAGAGCGATATACCAAGTGAGATAATTACGAAGAAATCATTTTCAAAGCTGTACAATCGCAAATATATATGGTTATTTTGTGTGTGTGTGTGTATACATTAAATTTGTCAAACAAAATACGGTTAGTAAGTTCAAATGAATTGGATGTTGATAAGAGGATAGCAACAAAAGTGATGAGTTGTCATAAATGATTGTTAAATAAGAGTTACGTAATGGCATGAATAGTTTGATGAATGAGTTGTACTCAAAGGGTGAGCATGGAAACAAAATAATATACAGAATTACACAAGGGTTGTAAGTTAGAAAAATAAGCATACAAACAAAAGTAAGGTCAAATCAAACAAACAAAGAAGAGTTGGGTCAAATCAACGGAGTTGTTACCATGCGAGCAGAAGTGGTTGGATTATTTTCTTTTGTATACATAGTTCTGGTTCCACCAACTGGATGGCTAGGGCTTCTGCGATGCAAAGAAGACGAAATCGTACTGTCTTTGGGAGGTTGTTCTTCACTTTGTAGATCACTTTGAAGGAGGCGTTCGTTGAGATGGAATGACCAGCGTTGACTAGATGTTCGATTATTGCACTCCTTATATGGCCATTATTTCCTTTCTGTAGCCACGCTGGGTAGTGTTCTTTGACCCTTTTTGATAGGATGGGCGTTGAACGACCGATGTACCTGGCTCCACAGCAACAGGTGAACTGATATATACACATAGAAGTGGTCATGTGCGGAATCTTGTCCTTTGGGTTTCTGCAGATCAGCGGGCGACTGGAGAACACTATTCTTAGTGTTGCCGCAGGGAAAGTTCTTCCTAAAGAGGTGGAAATTCTCCTTCTGAGGACGTCGCTAAGTAGGAATTATTCATGAATTAAAAAGTAGCAAGGATCCCTCGACAGTCAAGGAACTCAATGGGTTTCTACGGTACACTGTCAAACTTGCGATAGTGAAAGCGAAAATTTCTTTTTTCAATGATTGCATCACCAATCGCGAATATCCAAAGTGGTTTTGGAAAGCATTGAGAAGAAGCCACATATATCCCAACACAAAATCCCTCCGACGACATGCGTTGAATCTTATTGACTCTATTAAAGCCCGTATTCCAGAACTACAACGCAATATTTCACAAAGGTCTCCAGCCCTCCACGATCTGCTACCTAGTGAAACCCAGAGGTTTACGGAATATGTCAATACAGTCACTGAAAAACGAGCACAATCTACTATTTCCCGACTCACCAAAAGCCTCAAATCCATCAAAGCACATAAACAATTTCCTGAAGACCCTTCGAAATTCGTATTCAACTACTCTTCAGTTGCTTTATCCAACCTACAGTTAGAAGCCCTATCCATGGGCCCAAAATTCTGCGACGTCAACTTAAACGCCAACAGACTCCATACGCAAGTACAATTCGAAAACCTAATGACCCAAACAAATGATCTAACCCCAACCTCCGAACAAGAATTGCAGCGTTTCAAATCAACAATAATCGATAGCTGTTATCAGTATCTTAATACAAAGCCAAAAGTATACAACCACCTGACAAAGCAACATAGAGAAGAATTAAATCAACTAAAACAAAATGAAGAACTCCTTATAACTCGTCCAGACAAAGGAACTGGTATAGTCCTTATGGACAAGAAAGACTATATTGAGAAAATGAACAACATCTTGTCAGATAAAACAAAATTTTCGCAACCACCCAACGAAAGAAACAAAACAGAACAGATTGAAAAGCAACTCACCGATGTCCTGAAAAGAATGCAAACCCAAAAGTTAATCACTCATGAAGTGTATGATCAGATCCGACCGACAGGGTCAACAATACCAAGACTATATGGCTTACCGAAGATACATAAAGCCAACCTCCCACTTCGTCCAATTCTGGATATGTCAGGTTCCCCGTACCATTCAATAGCGAAATGGCTCACTGACATTTTAGAACCTGTACGAAAACGAATGTGCCACTATTCACTTCGTGACACTTTCCAATTCGTCGATTACATTAAAGATATCAATACAAAGAACAAAACTATGCTCTCCCTCGACGTTGAATCACTATTTACCAATGTTCCACTCACAGAAACTGTCTCTTATATTTGTCACTATATCGACGAAAATCAGC